CAGCGCGCGGTCTTCCCCCAACCACACCATCTTCCGCCAGAGAAGACAGTCCATGTTCTGCAGCCTTCCCTTGAAACCTGTAAGGCCGTTCCATCTTAAAACAGCACCAGCTCCACGATGGCACGCGTCCAACAGTTTTTCATACAAAGACCGTCACTTCAGTGCCTAAACAAATGCCTGAAGATGCTATGCTTGAGGTAAGACTTGACCTTCAATACAGGTAACCTAGTAAAAGCTAGAAACATTTCATTCATTTTTTTATAAAAGTGCTCAAAAATCTAGCATCTCATTTTTGATGGCTGCCTGAAATGAAATGTAAACATAACTGCATGTCAAACCATCAGATTAGATTTGTGATCTTCCTCCGTCAATGGCATCAGGTGAACGTTGCTGAGGATGTATTTATTGAAGTTATAAAATCAGTCTTAGAGATACAACTCAGAGCACATTCGATCATTAGGTGAAACATTACAGAACAATCTAGTATAAAGGGTGAATGGATTTTTGTAGACAGGTGGTCATGTCTCTTAACTCCATCTCTTTTAGTATTAACTCTAATGATTTGTGTGAAGGTTTGACGCTTTGTTCAAATCCAAAAGTGTTTTATTTGTGCCACAGTAATACTTAAACACATGTACGTTCTCTCTGTTTTTAATTTGACAACGTACATATTGAGTAACAGGAGTGTTTTTTTTTGTCTTTGTCTTTATGATGCTGAACAGAACCATTTTTCATTTAAAAATACTTATACAAAGCTTTGAATTTTAAATAAAGTATTGCCTCATGAGTTTGTAATGTTTTAAAGACTCATATTTATTGTCCATTTTTGATGTTTTGTTTAAAAAACGGTGTGTTTCTTAAGAAATTCAAACAAAAAAGTAAAGTAAAATTATTGTAGGAATATGAAGAGGTAGAAAATATTTCATGTGCTTTGTAAGAAATGAGACCATTTTTTTGCACTGTAGCTGTAGTTTTAACATGATGTATTATGAAATTCTTTATCAAAAGGGCTTGTTGAACGGTCGGCACAGATTATTCAGACAAATAGGAAAAAATAAAC